GAGGTCGCGACCAAACTGGCAAGAGACGAGCGCCCCCTGGGGGCGCGCGGGGGCCCCGCGCAAAAAAAACTGTCCTGCCGAAGTTTTCCTGCGGAGCTCGGCAAACCCGGGTGTGGGGCGGCGGGGGGGGCCCGGGTCAGAGCACGCTCCCTCCCCGCTCTCCTTTCGAGGGAGGGAGCATGAGAAACGTCCCGCGTAGGTCGAAGGGGAGCCCCTTCCCTCCCCCGCGGGAGGCCTGGGGGGGCCAGAATGCGATCCTTCCAATATCCCGTTTCAAGAGAGACTTTTGCCCAGGTGCCCCACGACGCACACATGGTCGGCGGCGCCAACCGCAGGACCTTCTGACATTTCGACTGGGGGATCGGCTACATAATTGACTAATCCCCCAAAATTATTTCCCGTCGGAACTGCGGAACGTGCTTCGAGTGCTCCGTAGATTTGGGGAGCATCCTGCGCATCTCTCGCAGAGTCGACGGCACATTCGAGTCTGGGGAGCATCAATTCTGTAGCCGATCTCCTACTCGAGCATCCACTGTCCTGCCGGGACCCTCCCGCGGAGCTCGACGAGCCCCTCCCGCGTTCCCCCCCCCGCACTTTGGTTGATGGGCCCATTTTTCCACCACCACTACCAGAGGTAGGACGGGGAGGAGGAGGAGGAGGAGGAGGAGGAGGAGGAGGGAGAGGAGTGCACGTACCCAAAAAGGAAGAGACGAGGGCAAGCGGGCAAGAAGCGAGACGAGGGCAAGAAGTCTGTCCACTCCTGTCCGTCTACCGCGCGTCTACTTCCAGAGCAATGCTTTGACGGCGCGCAACCCTGCAGCTATCGTAGCTGGGGTCGGCGAGGCGTGCTTCATTTTGTTCAAGAAGTGAATGGCGAGCGCAATCCGCTGAATCGACCGCGTTAACGAGAGCTCGTTCGCAGGCTCAGACGGATGGGCTGCGTCGGGGCCCAAGCCCCAAGGTGTAAGCGCGCTACGGAGGCGGGGCGAGTCGGGGGAGCAGAGGAGGCTCAGGAGGACCGAGCAGGAGAGGTAGTGAGGGAATGAATCGGGCGCTGCTGGACACCCTAACACGCACGACTTCTGCAGGAGAACGTGCGTGCGGTGGGTCGTCGTCCATCCACCTGCGAGTGTCCTATATACCGCCCAGCGCCTGTTCGGGCGGACGGTGCGCATGGCATTCGTGAGAGCAGCGCGGCGCGTAGCCAGCTCTGGGGGCGGAGGCGGCTGAGAAACGCCCCAGGCTGCGATGCACTTCTCGAGCATGACTGTGAGGGGCGATGAGAAGGAGGCCCGCTGCAGCGTGAGCGCGACCGCGCGCTGCACCTTGGGGCGGCGCGGTGGCTCAGCACTCGGGGCCTCGCGAATTGCACGGGCAGCTGCGCGGTTCGCCGCGGCCACGGCAGCAGCTGGAAACGGATCGGCGGTGAAGAATGGCTCCCATTCCCTACGGAGCGTGAAAGTGGCTGAGCGAATGGCAGCGGCGACGGCTGAAATCTGAGCTGAACGCGGGACAAGAGGCGGGCGCCATTCCGCCATGGCAATGAGATCTACTTTGCGAAGTGTGTTAGGCAGGAGACAGAGCATCTTGTGGATAATGCAATGTTCACTGCGGGCGATCCTCTGATCGAGCGGAACGAACTGCAAGACATAGCTGAGCGTTGAAACGACTGGGGTATTGCGAAGGCGAACGGTGGCAACACTGCCACTCTGCATGAGCTGAAAGGTATTCGCCCAAAGCGGGACGACGACCCACTTGCGAGGCTTCATGGGGAGGAGCGCAAGCTCCTGAGCGGCGGCAAAGGGCTCGCTGTCGGCGCGCAGCGTGTCGAACGAGAGCGCGAGGGGGCCAGCGTCCTCGGCGCAGCCGCCCAGGTAGCGCTTGTCGTAGACATGCATGCCGTCGACGGTCTTGACGAGAGAGGCGGCGTGGCGAACGAGCGGGTCCATGGCGAACGCCCATGCCGAGCCGCTCACAGGGCAACCCTGGGCCGCGCCAAACTCGATCGGGAACATGAAGTGACGAACGCCATCAACTTTGAGGAAGCTGTTGTGGGCGCGGCACAGCTGGCGAGAGAGGCCCATCAGGCCCTCAGGGGCGCCGCAGCGCTCCAGCGACGCGAAGAGCCAGACGCTGCCGAGCGACGGAGGCGCAGCCGCGAGGTCGAAGCTGGTCAAGACGGGCTTGTGCTTGTCGGCCTCTGGTTGAACTCCAGCGCGGCGCATCTCGGCGTCGAGGTTGACGATGTACTTGGTGAGATTGCGGCCCGCGACAAGGCCTCGCTGCGGGTAATAAGTCCGCTCTGCCACGGCGGATTTGGTGAGGAAGTTGGCCGCGCCTGCGATGGCCTTGATATCTGTGTACTTGAGGGGCCGCGGGCATGTGTCCTCAGGGAGGTGGTCCGTGGTGAGCTCGCCTGTGAGGGTGTCCCCCTTCGGCAGGGACGCGAAGTCAGAGTCGTTCAGGTCGTGGATGAAGTCAGGGTTGGAGCAGAGGTGCCAGGCAAGGCCCTCCAGAAGGTCCAGGGGTGCGCCCGCGGCGAGCTGGGCGCGGCGCGGCAAGAGGTCGGGCCCAGGCGCGGAAGGCGCCGCGCGGAGCAGAAAGTCTCTGATGTGCGGCTTGGCGGGCGCGCCGGCGTCGATAATGGGATGGCTGGGCATGTGCTCGACGATGTACTGCTGGGCCTCGAAGTCACGGTGCAGCGCGGCAGACTTCATAGTGAACTCGGCAGCATCCGTGAGCGCGATGTGACGTCGTTGATGAGGAACTCGGCGCCAAGCTCGGTGGCGGATTGCAAGCGCCGTGCAAGGCGACCGTCCCGGCGCCAGACCGCCCAAACATGGCTAAACACGCCACGTGGCCACCGCTGTGTCCGCGAAGAGCGCCTGGAACGACGTGGGGATGGCGCCGCGCTCAAGGTCGCGGAAGGTGGCGAGCTCGAACGCCTTCTCGTTCCACTCCAGGATGGCGGGGTCGGCTTGGCCCTTGACGTCGAGGCGCGCGACGGGCATGGCGTTGCAGTGGATCTCGCCCTTTGGCTCGGTATGCTCTCCCTGACTTTCGAGGATGTCGGTGTTGGAGGAGCTGGAGGAGTTTCTTGCATTGGATCTCGGTGCGCATCTGCTTAGGCGACTTGTCAGGGTTGAGGTAGATGTCCGTTGGCGTGCCCGAGGTGTCGACGGAGGTGAAGCGCTTCCATCTGCCTCCAGCGTCGCGTAGGGCACGCGCGAGCGCCAGCGCGCGCGGGGTGGCCACGTCGCGCCCACCTCTGACTTGTAGCACAAATCTGCGCGCAGGTTCGTCTCCGTGAAGTTCGACGGCGTCGGGGCCCAGGTTGGCGGAGGCGGTCCACTCCTGTAGGTCGTTGAGGAGCGCGTCGGGCGCGATGAACCGCTGTGCCCCGATGGTGAAGATCGTGGGGTCGATCTCGCGGCCCCAGTCGGCGAGCTTGGCGAGGTCCGCGATCGGCGCCTGGGCCTCGGCGAGCGCGAGGGTATCTCGCATCTGGTCGATCTGCAGACACATCTTCTTCTGTTCATCTGCTTGACGGTCTTGTTTTCTACGAGTGCGGGCGACGACGTCATGAAGGGTGTCGACTCGTCGTTCGGTAGCCTGGACTTGCTGTGCGAGAAGTTGGCGAAAGCTTTCGCGTGAATCATTGAGCAGTTGGTTGGCTTGAGCTTGGAATGTACTGGCAGCGTGTGCGACTTGAGCTTGTATGAGATCTTGAAGAGATTTGTCGCGTTCTGGGTCCAGACCTGGGAGGCGAACGGGATCGCCTGGCGTGGCGGTATCGGTATCGGCGGCGGCTCCGACGGCGGTTGCTCCTCCAGCGGCTGCTGCGCCTCCAGCACGCCATGGGTCAGCAGCAGCGAGAGGGTCGTGGCGTAGTGCTTCACCTGGAAGTTGCGACGGCGGCCCGGTCCCTTCACCAGCTTGAAATTGGCGTGCATTGACGGCGACGGCGGCACGTGCTGGGTCTGCAGCTTCCTCTTCTCCAGCGTCCATGGCGAAGTGGGGCGGCTGTTGGTGTGCTCGAGCTGAGGAGCGACAAGAGCGAGCGGCATGTCCAGATGCGCGCCCTGAGCGTGGCGCTGCCTGAGTAGCGAGGACGGCGTCGCCGAGCGGGACCAGGGTGGCACGCCCTGCAGCTGCTCGGCCATTTTTATCAGCACGGTCTGGGTGAGCTCGTGCAGCGCGATCTTGGTCGTGTCGTTCACGTTCTCGTCGGCGGTCTTTCCTTCTTCGGCTAGCAGATGGGGCAAGGCGGGAGGTAGAACGTTCTTCGCTGGAAGATGACATGGTTGAGACTCTGGGCTGCCGTCGAACACACTGCTGCTCTGCTTCAGGAAGTTGAGGGCGAGACCGCCAGACTCCAGGGCCTTCGCGGAGCCACCACGTGGCAGCTGCAGCAGTTGGGGAACGAGCGGGTCGACGTCCAGCGGGTTATGGAGGTGGACGACGGCGACGTCAACCAGGCCGAGGTCCAGCTGGTGCACTGCGACGGAAGTCGGGGCGCACGACAGCGCGATATGGATGGCAGCCTGCAATGCCAGTACAATGAGCAGGAATGGGCGGCCGCAAGCCCCTGAGAGTGGCGGCAGAACGCTTGGGTGCCAGCTCACCCCTGGTGGTGGCTGGAAACAGTTGGGGTCTGGCCTCGGCTCAGAGGTCTCCATGCGGCCGCAGCGCGACATGGTGACTTGAGCCAAAATGGCTACGGAAGGAGGAGGAGGAGTAGGAGGAGGAGGAGGAGGAGGAGGAGGAGGAGGAGGAGGAGGAGGGGCAGGAGGGGAAGGAGGAGGAGGAGGGGCAGGAGGAGGAAAACCTCCTTATCCCCCCTTCTCCCCCGTCCTACATATGATCGCGGTGGTGGTCAATTTGCCCATCACCCGAGGCCGCTCTGCTACGGCCAGCGGGGCTCGCCGATGGGGCGGCCGGGCCTGCCAGCCCCCCGAGGTGCCCCCCCTGCAGCCAGGCGGCCCACAGCCGCGCCGGTGCTAGGCGGGGGGCGCCTGGGTATTCGACACGGCGAGGGCACTGCAGCGTCTCGGGTTTGCACTGGTCCTCCTCCTCCTCCTCCTCGTCCTCCTCCTTCTCCTCACGCTCCTCCGTCCTCGCTCCTCCTCCTTCCTCCCTCCTTCCTCCTCCCTCCTCCTCCTCCTCCTCCTCCTCCTCCTCCTCCTCCTCCTCCTCCTCCTCCTCCTCCTCCTCCTCCTCCTCCTCCTCCCTCCTCCTCCTCTCCTCTCCCTCCCTCCTCCTCCTCCCTCCTCCTCCGACCTCGCACGTAGCAGACCTCCCTCCTGCGTACTCCTGTTCCTTGCTCCTCCTCCTCCTCCTCCCTCCTTCCTCCTCCTTCCTCCTCCTTCATCCCCCTTCCTCCCTCCTCCTCCTCCTCCTCTCCTCCTCCTCCTCCTCCTCCTCCTCCTCCTCCTCCTCCTCCTCCTCCTCCTCTCCCTCCCCTCCTCCTCCTCTCTCCTCCCCTCCTCCTCCTCCTCCTCCTCCTCCTCCTCCTACTCCTTCATCCTCCGACCTCGCACGTAGCATGCCTCCCTCCATCGCACTCCTGCTCCTTTCTCTTTTTTTTGGTTGCCATCGACGGCCATGGTCTCAGGAGGGTTTAAAGACCGACAGAGCGATGCGCCTCTGTCAGCCCACCGATCAAAATCAGTCCGAAGAGTCGCTCGAAAACCGCGCATCCTCCTCCCTGCACAACGAAGGAGCAGGGGCTTTCTCAGCCCTGTCCAGAGAGAAGGCGAGGGTGCGGTACTTATTGGCAAGCCGGTCATCACCCGCCTTGGCGTGCAACTCGGAGAGCTGCTTGGCCTCTGCGGATGACAGAAGAGGGACTGGGCCAGGCGGGAGCGCGCCTGACGTCTCATCCGCGCCGCCAGCGCCTCCACCAGCAAGCGGAGACTCGAAGCCCTTGCCCTTGCCCTTTTTGCCTTTGCGTCCCAGCTTGCCTCCTTTGTCCCCACGGCTCTGGTTACCACCGTAAGCGACCAGCGCATCGACCTCTTCTTCAACAGAAGCATAGGGCGTACGGGACGAGGCACCACTGGGAGGGCGCTCGGACACACACTGCACCTTGGGGAGGGCGGAGTAGAAATTCTTGCACCACGTGTAATGTGAAAGCATGCGTCTGCGACCGCAGTACGAACAAGCAGTCTTCGATGACGGGCTGGTGTGCGAGGACTCATCGTGCTCTCCTCCCTGCCGCGTCCATGGATTGTAAACCCAGCCGCCAGGAGCAAGAGGAGAAGAACCTGGAGCCATCGCACACGTGTACAGAGATTATGCTAACGGAGTTCCCCACATAAAGAGATTAACGGTTTCGTGGGACCCATTTTCTTGATGCCCTCCTCGCTCAGGCGGGGCCTCTCTGGAGGGGCGGGAGGGGCACGAAACCATGTAAATAGTATTGTTTTCCGATACCCTCCTCGCTCAGGCTGGGCCTCCCTGCAGGGGTGGGAGGGGCACGAAACCATGTAAATAGTATGGTTTTCGGATACCCTCCTCGCTCAGGCGGGGCCTCCCTGGAGGGGTGGGAGGGGCACGAAACCATGTAAATAGTATGGTTTTCCGATACCCTCCTCGCTCAGGCGGGGCCTCCCTGGAGGGGTGGGAGGGGCACGAAACCATGTAAATAGTATGGTTTCCGATACCCTCCTCGCTCAGGCGGGGCCTCCCTGGAGGGGTGGGAGGGGCACGAAACCATGTAAATAGTATGGTTTCCGATACCCTCCTCGCTCAGGCGGGGCCTCCCTGGAGGGGTGGGAGGGGCACGAAACCATGTAAATAGTATGGTATTCCGATACCCTCCTCGCTCAGGCGGGGCCTCCCTGGAGAGGTGGGAGGGGCACGAAACCATGTAAATAGTATGGTGTTCGGATACCCTCCTCGCTCAGGCGGGGCCTCCCTGGAGGGGTGGGAGGGGCACGAAACCATGTAAATAGTATGGTTTTCGGATACCCTCCTCGCTCAGGCGGGGCCTCCCTGGAGAGGTGGGAGGGGCACGAAACCATGTAAATAGTATGGTTTTCGGATACCCTCCTCGCTCAGGCGGGGCCTCCCTGGAGGGTGGGAGGGGCACGAAACCATGTAAATAGTATGGTTTTGCCTCCCTGGAGAGGTGGGATGGGGCACGAAACCATGTAAATAGTATGGTTTTCGGATACCCTCCTCGCTCAGGCGGGGCCTCCCTGGAGGGGTGGGAGGGGCACGAAACCATGTAAATAGTATGGTTTTCCGATACCCTCCTCGCTCAGGCGGGGCCTCCCTGGAGGGTGGGAGGGGCACGAAACCATGTAAATAGTATGGTTTTCCGATACCCTCCTCGCTCAGGCGGGGCCTCCCTGGAGGTGTGGGAGGGGCACGAAACCATGTAAATAGTATGGTTTCCGATACCCTCCTCGCTCAGGCGGGGCCTCCCTGGAGGGGTGGGAGGGGCACGAAACCATGTAAATAGTATGGTTTCCGATACCCTCCTCGCTCAGGCGGGGCCTCCCTGGAGGTGTGGGAGGGGCACGAAACCATGTAAGTAGTATGGTTTTCGGTATGGAGTGGTATGGAATGGTATGGTAGGTATGGTATGGTTCGGTATGGTATGATATGGTATGGTATGGCACTGGAGATATGGTATGGTATGGTACGGTGTGGCATTGGTGTGATATGGTATGGTGTGCTATGGTACGCCATGGTATGGTATGGTACGGTATGGTACGTATGGTGTGGTATGGTATGGTATGGTATGGTATGGTATGTGTGGTAGGAACTATGGTATGGTATGGTGTGTGTGGTAGGAATAATATTGTGCTGTATGGAAGACGGAGCGGGAGGTGGGTGGGAAGGAGAGGGTGTTCTGGGAAAACAAGAACCCCACTCAGGATGTCGGGAAAAATCAAACCTGAACGTGATTGAAAGAGGAAGTGGGCAAGCCCCAGTACAGGTACTCAGAAAAGCACAGAGGATCGAGGTGGGGCCGCTAATCCCCTTGCCAAAACAAACTCAAAGTCCACTGAGCCAACGCTACAGGCTTGAGCCAAAATGGCTACGATGCTCCTTCCTCCTCCTCCTCCTCCTCCTCCTCCTCCTCCTTCTCCTCCACCTCCTCCTCCTCGTCCTCCCTCCTCCTCCTGCTCCACTCCTTTTCTCCCCCTCTGCACACTCTTGCGGCGTGGGCATTGGATAAGGAACCGTCGGATGAGGAGTCCAGGATCTGAAAGCCTGTGGAACTCCGATCGTAGGTTGGCCCTGGATACCGCCGCCGCTCCCATCAGATCAAGGAATCCTCCAGGGTCTGAAACCTCCTGGGCACATGACTTCAAGAACTCACCAACCGTATGCTGCCCGATGGATTCATGGGAAGCCGTGCAAGCGAAGAGGAGGACCGTCGCGTGGTTGCAGAGCGACTCTGGCTAGCTCGCTTAGGGCGACGATATCTATACATATCCACTGCTCCCGGCCAGGCCAATCCTGGGCCCAAGAGCTGTGTATACGCCCTCCTGGCTGGGCCAGGGAGGCATATACACCGCTCCTGGGCCCAGGATGGGCCTGGCCGGGAGCAGTGGATATGCATAGATCTCGTCGCCCCATCGCTGCTTACTCACAAGAGCATCCGCTGAAAGGGCCCCCGAGACGCCAGGCCCCCACGCTCGCTGAAGTCCCGAGGACGGCACACTGGAACGGCCTTCGGAGATCTCCGCAAACCCGGAGAGGCCTGCAAAGACCTCCATGGAAGCCCTGGGGATTCAGACGGGATCAGAAGCGTTGGAAAGGCCGCAGTTGTCCTGCATCCTCCCCCTCCTCCTCCACCTCCTCCTCCTGCGACCACCTCCTCCTCCTCCTCTTACCTCTTACCTGCCTGCGGAGGAAGGGTCCACTGAGGGCCTCCGACCTCCTCCTCCTCCTCCTCCTCCTCCTCCTCCTCCCCGGCCTCTGGGATTCCCCAGGGCCTCCCCGGTCCTGCATCCTGAGTCATCCCCAGATCGGCTCTGCATCCTGAGTCATCCCCAGGGCCTCCCCCATGCCTGCTGCCTGGCGCCCCGAGTCGTATCCTGCTTTGGGGGTTCTGCGCTGCGGACCCCAATGCGGGGGGGGGGAGGAGAACGAAGAGGAGGGGGGAGGAGCGAGCAGCGAGGTCGGAGGAAGTGAGGGATGTGTGAGACAGAGAGGAGGTAGGGAGCAGTACGGGGAGAAGAGGACCCAGTGGAGGACGATGTGCGAAAGTGTTGAAACTGGCAAGACCTGGCCGGCAGTGGGCGGCCTACAAAAACGATGCTCGCAGTGGTCACGTGGCGGAGCGCGCCGCTCCTGACGGCGAGGGAACTCGAACGAACACACCGCCACATGATGATCATGACCTCCATTCGTTCCTTCCTACACCGTGCTCATGCTCATGGCGCTGCTGCTGCTCCCCAGTGTCCTCGAGTGGGCACGCCGAACTTCCAACACACAACACCGATTGGCCGTGCCACGATGCCCTTCTGCTCGGAGAAGAGCGCATCCCGAAAGCGGATACGTATGGTGGTCGGGTTCCGTGCAATGCCGCTTATCCAGCGACGCCAACGACAAGGACCAATCCATGCAGATCCGGCCCTTTACATGCATGGTCGATGTTGACCGCACAATGACTCATCTCGTGGTGGCCTCCTCCACCTCCTAGGACCTCCCGAGAATCCCCCGAGGGAAGAGAAAAGGAGAGAGAAAGAGAGAGAAAGAGAGAGAGACAGAGGACACCGAAAGACGTGGAGGATGAGGGAACGGGCCTCCTCCTCCTCCTCCTCCTCGTCCTCCTCCTCCTCATCATCATCATCCCAAATCCCTCGCGCATCTTCCAAGCTCCCGTCTCCCTCCTTCTCCTCCTCCTCCTCTTCCACCTCCTCCACTTCCTTCTCCTTCTCCTCCTCCTCCTCCTCTTCCTGCTCCTCCTCCTTCATTCCTTTTCCTCATGACTAGACCCTCCCTGTCGCACCCCGAGTCGTGTCGGTAGGGCGGACCGGGCGTTTCGCCTGAGACTTCCCTACCATCTATGATCCTTCACCCCAGCAGTTGTAAGAGCTTCATGGATGGAGGGCGATTGGTTTTCAAAATGTGGCTGCGCCTCAGCACCGCGCACATTCGTCTTAGAAGCTTGCAGGGGTTCTAAGGTTGGACGGCGGTTCCTTTTCAAACTGCGACTCTCGCCAAAGCGACGCGCACTTCGTTTTGAAACAATTCACGGATGGAGAGCGGTTCGTGTTCAACATGTGGCTCTCTCGCCTTTGCGCCGCGCACGTTCGTCCTAAAGTGTGCAAAGAATCACGGATGGAGGGCGGCTCCTTTTCAAAGTGTGGCTCTCGTCATTAGTGTCCTGCACTTTCGTTGTAAACCACTGCTGAAGTTTCGCAGGTGGAGGGCGGCTCCTTTTTCAGAATGTGGCTCTCGCCTGGTCGCCGCGCACATTCGTTTCAAGAGCTGACAACAGCTTCAAATAGTATACTGGTTGACGTGCTCGAAATGGTGTGTTGGCACGATGTCGGACCGTCAGGGCGCAGCCATTACGTTGACTCGCGGGGTTGGCGATCCAGAAACGGTGTTCTGGCACGATTCTGGACTGTCAAGACGCAACAGTAACTTTGATTCGAGGCGTTGAAATCCCAGGAACGGTATTCTGGCACGGTTGAGGATTTTCAAACGGTTGTCTTCCAACGGGGCACGTCCGTGAGTCAAAATGAACCTTTCTAGAATATGATGAAGAGGGAGCTTGGAGGAAGGGTGTATGGCAACATCGTTGATGAGTCTTGGGTTGCACTGGTCCTCATCCTCCCCCTCCTCCTCCTCCTCCTCATACTCCTCCTCCTCCTTTTCATCCTCTTCCCTCATCCCTCTCACCTCCTGCATGCTCCCGCTTCTCGACGCCGTCATCAGCCGTCACCCTCCTCCCTCTTCTCTCTCCAGGCTCGAGCCGTCGGAGACATTTCCTGGCGGCGCGTTTTGGAGTATGGCAATTTTGTTGCTCTCAAGCCAGGTCCTCACTCCATCACGCCCATGCGCGCCACGTCGAGCTCTCGCGCCGCTCGTCGTGACCGCGACTGGGACCTCTCCGCCCGGCATGATCCTTGCCAGGCGAGGCCGAGTGTCCGTGCCGCTGTGCGGAAGCTCGGCTATGCGGCGTCGAAAGGGTGCCACGCGTGGCCGATGTCCGCGACTTGGCGCAAGCCTGCGGCCTTAACCGCTATGGTGCAGCTCACAACAATGCTCTTGACCGCCCTCACCCTTCGGGTGGGGATCAGCCCGGCTACGTTGGTCGACTTGCTGTTCTGCCGCCGCCGGCTTTTTCCCCTCGGCCGCCCGCCATCTCGCAAAAGGTTGCCCCGCCCGTCAGCAAGCCAGAGCCGCTCTCCGCGCCTTCGCTGCTGAACCCCGAGGATCCTTCTTTCCAGATGCCGGAGGCTTCGCCTGGGCCGGTCTTCGTGGAGATCGAGGTGCAGAAGCGCACCGTTTCCTTCGACGTGCCTTCTTCGCCGCGCCCATCGCCCTGCCAGGTAGAGAAGTGCACTGCAGTGCCGATCGACAGCAGTGCCAGCCAGGATATCGCCGCCGAGTTCAAGAAGAGGATCTCCGATCTTGCGCAGCAGCACTGCCCTGCCATGCTGGGGCAGCTAGACACTCTGTTTGGCAAATGCACGGGCCAGGAGGACATTCTTTACCTCAAGGTTTGCAAGAAATTCGGAGTTCTCCCGACGCTGATCCGCCGCGCAGTGAACCGTCCTCCAGAGTAGCTTGAGTTTCCAGACTGGTGTGTCTTTGCTTGTGTGAAGCATCCGTATGTCTGCCTATGCGCACGCATGTTCTCAAGCATGTGTGAACCATTTTGCCTCTCTGTGTTATCGCTCTGTGTTCAGGTCTCTTTCTCTTTTTGAGCGGGGTGTTCCTGAACCAGAGTTTCAGCAGTCAGAGAGACGTCGGAGCACGCGTCTGCCATGCCCCTCGTCGCACACACACACACACACACACACTCACACTCACACACTCACACACTCACACACACACACACACCTCTCTCCGTCTCCTCCTTCCTCCAGCCCTCCCCATCCACGCTCCTCCACCTCCTTGTCCTTGTCCTTGTCCTTCTCCTCGTCCCCCTTCTCCTCCTCGCCCCCCGAAGCGCGACAAAACCGACTCCAGGGATGGGGTCGAGAGCTCCAGTGGCCGACACAGTGAGTTGGCCTGGCGACGCACTGGACCCTGTCTCAAAACAAGGGGTCTTTCGACATGGGGCGGGCCGCCATGCGGACGCAGCCACTGATGACGAACCCACAACACACACCCATACCCATAGAGGGGGGTCGGAAAGGGCTATGGGTGCGTGTTGTCGGATTGGGGCCCCCCGCTCGAAGGGGAGTGTTCCCTGGGGTCCGACAACCCGCACCCATACCCATAGCCAGTCCTCCTCCCAACGACCCCCGTATGGGTCGTTGGGAGGAGGAGGAGGAGGAGGAGGAGGAGGAGGAGGAGGAGGAGGAGGAGGACGACCCCATAGTGTGTGCTGTTCGCTCGTCAACTGAAGCCTGCGGTGGAGCGCCGCGTGCGCGTGCCAGAGTGGGGGCGGGGGCACCGTGCGGGCCCTGCACAACCGGGGCCTTCGGCGCGGAACTCCCCAGGGCCCGCGGGAAACGACACGCGTGCGAGGGGCGTGCCGGCATAGGGGCGGGTGACCGTGCGGACGCGCAACCACTGGGGCCCTCGGTGGAGCTCCCGAAGGGGCCACGGCGCGTGCGATGGGGGTGTGCCGATATGGGACGGGGCACCCATGCCCATCAGGGCCACGAGGCGTGAAGGCGTGAGGGGCGTGCAGAAACGGGGCGGGTCACCATGCGGGCGCAGCGCCACTCGGGCCGTCGGTGGGGCGCCCTAGGGGGCCACGAAGCGTGCGAGCGTGTGCCGCAATGGGGCGGGACACCAGTCGGATGCAGCCACTGGGGCCTTCGGTGGAGCGCCCTATCGGGCCTCGAAGCGTATGAGTGGTGTGCCAGAAAGGTAATGAGGATAACGATGGTGGTAACGTCAATCCGCCACCGTGCCGCTGGGCACGGGATGGGCGTGTCCTCAAGTCCTTCCACTGCCCCTCTGAGCCTCAGTCGTCACTTCTGAGGAGTTCTTAAAGGGTTCGGAACCTCTCGTCGCCTAACTGTTTCGGGCCCACGAAGGCCCCAAGACGGGCCAAGCGGGGCTTCCGACGGCCGAAGACGGCCTCGAGTCGCCGAACGATCGCCCCAAGACGCAGCAGATGGCTCCCGAACGGCCCAATAGGTCTCCAAGACGCCCCAAGACGCCTCCAAGAGGCCTCCAGAGAGGGCCCCCAGATGCCAAAAACATTAATTTCCCATTGGCTGTTCAAGGTGTTTTCCAGTTCTCGCCGTTTCGGCTTCCCTACGCTCCATGACGGCCCGCGAGGTCCCAAAGATCGTCCAACGCCGGCCCAAGAGGCTTTCAAGACGGCCCCAAGACGGCCCAAGAATGCCCCACGACGGGTTAAAAGGCATCCAAGACTGCCCGTTGGGGCCCCCAAAACGGCTCCAAGAGGGGGCCCAGACGGGGAATCCGAACGAACATTTGTAGCCCTCGGCCCCAAGACGACCCCAGGAGGCCCCAAGAGGCCTCCAAGAGGCCCCCCAAGAGGCTCCCCAAGAGGCCCCCAAGAGGCCCCCCGAAGGCCGCCCCCTAAGAGGCCCCAAAACCGCCGCCAAGAGGCCTCAAAGCTGCTTCCAAGAAACTCCTGAGGGATCTACCACGCGATCCCGACGACCCCCCCAGAGGCCCCAGAAGCACACAGCGAGACCCCTACCACTAGACCCCTACGATCACTCGAGAGGTTTTCGGATGACCACACTTGCAGCGTGCAGACGGCATGCCTCAACTGGTACTCCGTTGATACCACGTGAGACGTACAGACGATGTGCTTCAAGGGGGGCCCGCCTTGGAACCACTTTAGACCCGCCTCCAGGGGTACTTCTCTGGTACCACCTGAGGAAGCCTCCAATGGTGCTTGGTAGGTACCACTTGAGGCATATGGCCGACATGCCTCAAGTGTCACATGACTGGTAACACTTCGAGCATTCAGGAATGCCTCAGGTCTGCCCACGATCCAGGCACGGTGGCGGGATGGGCCGGAGGCCATTCGATCCGCCGCCCCCTTTCGCTTTAGCAAAGGGGCAACGGGGTGCCTGGCGTGCCAAATGATATGGCTTTTGGTTTTGGTTCTTTAGAACTCCCCCTGGGGCTTCGGCCCGTCCCGCCGGCCACCCGGAAAGGATCTCAAAACGCATCCG